CCCTCCTGGTCCCTGCGTTGCCTTTCCCCTGGCGTTGCTGCCTGCCCTGCCTCCCGACTGCCGTGTCCCTCGGCCAGGCTGTTAGGAGATCCCAAGCCAGAAGGCCCCTTCGGCTGTCTGTGGCCATGGTTGTTACGCCTTGGGCTCGCCTGCTGCTGGTTTTGGAGACCTGAAGCACTGAAACACTTCCTGCTACCAGTAAAGGCTGGCAATGGCCCTGTGGGAGCAGTGAGCTCTACTGTAACAGTAGTAGGTGGGAGCTGATGTTTGGCTTTTCCGAAATCCAAGAAAATGCCAGGAAGCAAACCTAATATGTGCGTTTCAGCCTACTTATCTAGCTGACAGAAGTACATCTTAAACGACGTGGTGTGAAAAACAGGTTACTTGTGTGAAAAACAGGTTACTTGCTGAAAGAAAGGGTGAGGCTGGGGCGTGTGGTAATGACAGGGCGGCCCAGGCTTCACACAAGGCCTGCGGCATTGCCTGTGAGCAAAAGCCATGTCACTGCGAAAGGTACAGAAACACACATCTTTGCCTTCAGCAGTCACACACTCTTGTGTGTGAGCACAGTCAAGGCTTGTTCAGTGTTTGCCGAGACACTCGTCCACCCATTTCTAGTACCGAGGCCCTCTACTGTGACAGTTCTTCAGCACTGATGTGCACTGCCAAGGAAATACATTGTGACCAGGTCTTGGAGTCCAGGTCGAAAAGAAATCTTACGTAGCGCTAAGCAGAACGTCTGTTTTCACTAGACACAATTCCTTCAAGTCCTGCCCTGCCTCCATTCTCCTAAGAGGCATGAAGAGTCACATCTCTCAGTTAATTAGCAGGGCATTAATTTTTGTGACTATTGGCTCCAGTCACAAAACCAGCTGAGCTGTAGCAGGAAAAAAGCACTTTGTCTCACCTAAGGCCTGCGTGTGTCCTGGCGGTCAGGAAATTAAGAACTCAGATGGACGTTCTCATGAACATCTCCTGATGCTTAATGTCCTTATATCTTAGACTTTGCATCTCCTAGCTTTTCTTCATCTAGAATTCTCCATTCCTAAGCCAAACACAAAGGCTTTCTACAGTTTCTTCCATGGAGCAAATGTTATTCTTCCACCTCACAGTCTCTAATTTATTTCCAGTCTGACTAAATTTATTTTTTCTTTACTTATTTCTTTTTGCTGTCATTTGTTTCTCCAATTGCATTACTTAACTCTGTCTGCAGAGAGGGCATAGGAGCTATTTCTGCATTCCTGACTTGCCTAAATTCCTGTTAAACTCCATGGATGTTCTGAGCATGCAAGAACGGGGCTAAAAATTGTGTTCCACATTCTGTACTTTTAAAGCCTCCCCAAGTGGCATCACTTAATTATTAAAACATTAAGGCAGACACACAGCAGATACAGCACAGGTAATTACAGGATCTCTCTATCAGATACCAACACCAAATATCTCTATATGAACATCTGGTAAACAGTTGAGCAATTAAGTAGTTATAAAGTGGTTTTTTATTCTCTAAGTAGAGATGTAGTGAACAAAGCATTCTAACTAGTCACATATACCATGGCTTCTCTTGAATTTTAATGAATATATATGCATATAACCTTTCTGGTTGTTTTTTTTTTTCTGAGGAAATAAGAGAGGAAGTGTTATGCTTTAGAGAAGGTTAAGACTTGTTTGGAATCTGAGACTTTGCTTACTAGCCTCATCTCTTCAATAACAGCCTGTAATTCACATTTCTGAAGACGACCAGAAGGTGAGCCTAAGACTGCATGAGCCCTGCTTAGAGGTCACAAGTGATGTATAGGTTTTCTGATGAACCCCAGCATGGCACTGAATTTCATTGCTGAAAATCCTGATCTGTAGGGCGAGTTCAGATGGTGAAGCATTTTCACAGCTGTCTTCTTAGTTTTTCAAAGACGAAATGCACAGGGAACAGCTGTGAACTCTGTATATGGTAGGGTGGAGCTCACGGGGTCATTTGTCATTACCTGTCCCCAGATCTTTGCTTCAGTTTGCTATGGAGGAAACCACTTCATAGCAAATCCTCTTGACTGACTTGATAGGAGCTTAGCAAAGCCTTTGCTCTCCACATACACTGTGCAAATACACTGTGCAGTAATCCTTAGTACAATTAACCAATGAACACTTTAACACGTAGAATTTTCCTGTGTAGATGTGTCCACTAGTAGTTGTGTATCTCTCTGTATAAGTAGTTGTACTGAACTGAACACGATCTTGTATATGTATGAAATTACTTACACAAGCAAGTGTCAAATCCAACAAAAGTAAAGAAAAACAGTTTAACTGCAAATATTAAAAAGACTGTGTATTCAGGTGGAAACAATTTGGTGCTGAAGTCTCCCTGCTGCCAATTTTGATCATCACAATTTAAAAGTTGCGGTTAAAATGTACAGCCTTCAGCTTCATATTAAAACCTCCCCTTATCATTAAATAATAAAATATTTGGCTTTTATATAAATCCAAGCAAACCCCAAGTATTAATTGATGGTTTTGTCATTCAAGTTGCAATGTAATTCACTTCTCCTCAGTGTTGGGCTAAAATCTTGGCAGTTGTTGCTCCATCAGCCTTCCGTGGGTCAGAAACGGGATTTAATGCCACTTAGCGTGTTTGGCCAGTTGAAATCTGAGGAGTTCACACTCACTTAAAAGGCAGCACTTTTCATAAATATCAGTTTCCCAAGTGTTGTTCACTGGAATATCCTGTCTTCGCCCACTGAGTGTATTGTATTGTGTATGGACTGTCCCTTGCCCTCCCTTGCTCCACCAACATACCTGTTAGCAGATGCTGATTTTGTTAACAGGCAATACCTATCTCTGCTTTTTGTCTGTAAAAAGATTCAAAATCTAGAAGATGAACTGACTCAGCCAAACAGAGGTTTACTCCAAAATTATTCTTCTAAAAGTTGTTACCCTACGGCCAATATTTCAATATCTTAACAACTAGCATTATTTTCTTTAAAATGTCCTTCATGGTGGATACGACCTCCCAAACAAGGAATGCAGCAGATGAGTAGGTGGCAAGGAAGTGCAGTTCTAGTGTCTTGGCCAAATTCCAACCTCAGTAATTACACTCTGCTCTTAAATTCCCCCTGCAGCCCTGCTAGAATAAAGCTCTTTTTCAGCTTGTCCTGAAGCATTGTGTAGTATTGCTGTGAAGCTGTACAACGCTGAAAAATATCTCCTCCCGTTCGAATTGCAAGGGGAATTTCGGGAGACAGAAAGCTATTACTGGAGCGTGAGTTTGGGCAGAACACCAAGGTTAACTTATACTTGCATTGGGATCAAGGGATCTCAGCTGACGTGGAGTGTCAGACCCTCGTTAAAAAGCACAAGTGGGAATAGCTCACGGTGCTGCCTGAATACAAACTTGGAAACTTGGGATCTCTGCACCTGGAAGTGACCGCAGGGACTTTTCCTAACAAATGACTCTGCCCAGAAGCCTCTGGTGCTGTAGAGTATCTTACCCCAACCTTATTTGGTTATTTAGCAATATTTCTGACATTATTTGTCCATAAAAAATTTCCAGCAACCTAAAAAACCCCAAACTCCCACACCATTAAAAAATGGCTTTGCCATAGAAAAGCAGCTCTAGAACCCAGTTATGCCAAGGCAAGTATTTCAATTTCAGTAAGTACCAAGTGCTACTGAGAAGCACTCCAGTAGCATTTACGCAAGCGGAAGCAGGCCTGCCGTACCAGTGAAAGCGCTCCTCTTCATGCTAAGTAGACAGCTGCAACGGTTTTCTTTAGCTTCGAAATTACGGCTCATTTAAAATATTTAGGCAACTCATCCAGATTAGTTCATACCCAAAACCAAAAAAAAGTCATTCTTACTAAACTAGAATAATTTAGAGCCGTCGCTGTATAAATTCCTGTAGGAAGAAAAACACCTCTCCAAATCCATCCGCGTACGCCGAGCCTGTTGGCTATTTGTACTCTGTGCTTTTTTTCTTTTCCTTTCTTCCTCTTGCTGCCCTTCTCTCTTCAGATCAGAGCAGCTGTAAGCTGGGTGCTCTTACTGCATCTGTTTCTTCAGTCTCAACTTTCTCGTATTTTCTTCTGCACAGCCACGTCACAATAACCAGCACAGCGATGCCAAAGCCAGCACTCAGCACCACTGTCACCACGGTGTTGATGCCACCAACCACTTGTCTCGTGGAAAACTCTGGTGGCTTTTCGTCAGTGTAGTAAATCCATAGTTGGTCAATATCCAGGGTATCTCCCCTGACAGAGACAGTTAAGGAACTGTTAGAAGGGAAAAGGGAGTCATCATTTATATCTTTTTCAAAGTAATAAGCGACATCAGCTATATCTACATCACACCTAGATTCCACCGAGTCATTCTGGTTCAGACGGATTTGGATGAGCGGGGAAGCATACCTAATGGATGCGATATACTTAGGGTGTAGTTTGTACCGGGTCTGAAACAGCTGTTTCAGGGCGTCTGTCAGGTCAGCAACATCGAAGGCACTGGACCTTTTTTGGTGCTTCAGTTCAATGTAGATCCAGCTCGTTTTAACCAGTTTGAGGCAATTCAGGCTTTTGTCACCCTTTATGGATCTTCTCACTCCAGCAGTGTTCACACACCAGCAAGTATCGGCTTTGTTGCACTGCCTGGCTTTGAAGATGCCGCTGTGCTCGCAGTCTGGATTGTAAATGCCGTCATCATCCAACAGCCCACGGAAATGGCCCCTGAAGCGCTTCCCCTTCCGGATGATCATTTCTGCCCTCATCAGCCAGCATTTTGAAGTCAGCGTTGAACAGTCCACCTTGTGATCCGAACCTACCAGCGTGCAGGTGCAGTTCCCGGACACATCCTTGGCACACGCCGCCCACTTGTTGGTCTCACAGGTACAGTTGTTCTGCGCTGATGATGCTACCACTAGAATCCAACCCAGCAAAACCCCCAGCAGAGGCTCCATAGTGCAGGTGGAAAGTGTGGATCAAGTCCCAGCTGATAGCAGGTGATAGCTGAAGCTTTAATCCACAGAGTCCACCGGTTTCTACATGCTGGTGTGCTGCTCCCCTTAACAAGATTCAAGTCACACCCACCCAACAGGTTCTCCTTCCAAAACAACTGGCATCTTGTCCCCAAATCCTAGCCAACAAGCTGCACTTCCATTGATGAGTTTGCCGGGAGTGGCAGCACTGCCTGCCTCCAGCTGCCTGCCATCCCTCCTACTTGATTGAGGAAACAGCCAGGAAGACACAAAAACCAACCTGAAGCTTCCCGTATGGATTAAGCACAAGCAGCTTGCTCCTTTTCCTTCTTTAGACTTTTAATGGACTATGTAAATGTATGTCTAAGGAATTTCTCCCATTTCTGTTGGAAGAAATCCTACTTCTCCGCTTCCACCGCGGTTTCTCCTGTCTCTTCTATCACACAGCTTCTGTATCATTCCACTATCTAGATTCTTACTAGTTATGGACTTCCTCCTTTCTACTTTCATATGTTTATAAAATAAAGCCTTTTGGAGTTTTATGTGTGGAGCAGCTGCCAATTCAGTTCCTCTGTTTGATCACTGCTCTCGTACTTACAGAGTGCAGGAGCAGTCTCATCTCCCAGCACGGAAAGCTGCTCTCCCCACGTTCCTGTGGCACCCAGGCAGTACCAGGAATGACGATGTTCGTGCTCGCACTGCCATTACAACGTTGTTAGCGGCTTCTGATGAAGTTTTCAATCTGAACTTGGAGTAATGCCTTTCACAGCATCTCCCAAGTGTCCCAGTGATGCACAAAGCAGGAGTTACCATTTCCATGTTTTGGCAGCAGCTGAAAGATATTTGCCAGTTTGCATTGAGCAAGTCTTCTATCACTGATTTGTCAGACACTGTCAGACACTTCATAAATCATTATTCTGGGACACAGAACGGCATGTACGCCATTCTCCCATCCACACAACTCACACACCACCTTGCAATTGGCTCCTTTCACCTGGGCTGCTGTTTCCCAAGGACCTGCCCTGCTTCGAATCAGTGCAAGCTGGGCTGCTTGTAGCCATGGCCTGCATCTCCATGAACAGCGGGAAGCTACCTGGGCTGCCAGTGAGTATTTTGAAGACAGGACAGGTTTACAGTTGGAGCTCCAGGTGTAAATACCGCCTACCGCTCCAGAAAGGCACCATCTGGAGTTACGCTGCAGCTAGAGCCATGTCGAGCTAAGCTGCAGAAACCCACGCCACTTGAGGGAGTAAAAATGAGAAGTTCAGCAAATGATTCCTGGCTCCTCTACAGCACACCTCTCCATTTCCCCTTCCTTCAGCTAAAAACAACAGCAGCTACCTTTCTCAGAAATTAAAAACGAGAAGAGTTACTAAACTATTAGCAAAGAATCATCAATATGGCAACTTGAAATCCCTGGAAATTTCAGTAGTAATTCCAGCTGTAGATCTGTGTTATTTTAGAGTCATTCATTTACCTGTAATAACCTTGCTTTTTAAAAAATTTCTCATCCCTCCTTTGAAGTCAAAATCCATTTAACTGTCACCTACATACTCATATCTGGTCTTGATTTTATTTCACATTATGAACTTTAGATAGAGTAGGTTTTGGTTTTCTTCTCTCTAGAGGACAGAGCCTCGGCTGCTGCCAACTTCCAGCTCACGCCCGGCCTCAGTGAAGTGATGGCAATTTCTATATGGCCAGGAGCTGCGCTACCCTTGTGCTGAGAAACACGGGCAATAACGGGACCTTGGCGTAAACAGTGCTTTGCTGGTTTACTGACGTTCACAGATGTTCATGAATGATCTCAGCCTTATCATGTGACACTTTCCCCTTCTTTCAGACACTTAGAGTGGAGAAAAAGGGGTTTGTCAGAAGCAATGTTATGGAAGCAAAGCCACAGATGGCCTGTTTTGCCTACCGGTAGAGGATTCTAATTGCTGTTACCTTAATTGAAAACCTGCATTCATTGCCTCTTCCCTCAAAGGTGGCCAGAAGCATGAGGACAGTTTTAGAATATACCCATCACCAAGCAAAACGTGCAGCAAGAGAAGGGCAGAGTAGGAGTAATTTTAAAGTTTCCCTAACAGAGCTGCAGAAATGGCCAAAAAGAAAAAGGTATTGTTTCCTTTCATCCACAGTAAGCTGTAATGGCACTACAAGAGTTAATTATTTAGAACAGCAGGCTATGAAAGGAATAATCCTGCAGGAAATGTGGACTGTGTTATTTCTTTAGTGATCTCTGCTTCCATGGAAACAATTTCTCGGCACAATTCTAAATCTCATAAAAATAGGGCACTAGGTCTATGTAAAGCAGCAAGACGTTTCCAATTAAACAACCCCGAATGCTTTTATCCAGGCCATTAAATACTTTGTTCAGATTCAAACACGATTACAGCGTTCGCCGGGGTGTTACCAACCAGCGAGTTGCCCAGCGCCAGCTCCGCGGGCCCGACGCGGCCAACCCGCACGCAGCCTGAGGCCCCTCGCACCCCAGCAGCAGCACAGCAGGTCCCCGTCCGAGGCCAGGGCGCACTGTACAGCGCCATGCTGCTTGCTCTTCACCTCAACACACCGCGTCCTCACGGCTCAGTAATGCCCAGCAGACCGAATGCTCTGCTAGCACAGCCGGAAAGAGTTCATCTGGCTCCTGCTGCTGGCAGAAACAACTAGAACCACCACACTTGAGCCGCATTTGGGTAAGAAACATAGCTGTTTGGAATGTCTCTGGATGATCACCTTCAGGTTTCACCGAGAACAAACCCATTTTATTACTTCAGTGATCCTACGGCCGCGAGTATGTGAAAACAGCCTGGAAAATACCCACCTACCGTCCTGGCATCCCACCACAAAGTACCATCGGATAATTTCCTGAGGGAGACTGAAGCAGAGGGTTTGTCACAACAAAGGAATGAAAGAGATCTATACGAGGGGACACAGCCACTGCCCATCAGTTGCAATCACTAAGCAGAGTGTACACGCACCGGTGAGAGCAGTTTTGGTTCAAACCCGCCGTCGATCAGCTGTGACAAAGCTCCCTCTAGTGGTATCAGACTCGGTTGAATCACGTTGTTTCTGGTTCTGACTTGGAGGAAACACCAGATCTTACACTCGAAAGACAAGGTGGCATCGTAAATAGGCAACACACCTACCAGGGTACCACCACGCAGTAGACTGACGTTTTGTGAGAATTGATAAAACACCTCCTCCTCCTCCTCCGGAGTTCCCTACCTGTGATGCAACTCTACAATTTTAAAGCTTTTCAAACTCCTTATACTAATGAAAAGCTGAAGTTAAAAATGTAAACATATAAAATCTTAAAATTCCATTTATGTTATGTATAACTAGATACATACACATTTGGTTGGTTGGTTTTTAAGGAAGAATCGAGTCCATCGTCACCTCTCTGGATATAAACTCAAGGTCTTGCTTGTCTTCATGGTTTCAAATATAGTTTAGACATCGGAGAAACTGCCCAGCACAGATTTGTGTGCTAGTGACTCGACATGAGTCAAGTTTCCTCATGACTCAGAAAGCAGAATTTAAAGCACATATTTCTATAAAGATTCACAGTGATACAGCTCATGAAACATTTCTGAGTTGCACTCAAGAAACTTCTCAATCAAGATCAATCAGTTCATGACTAATTTATCTGAATATATATTGGTACGAAATTGTAACTGAACTGGTACAAACCAGTATGTTTTCTTACTGAACTGCACACTGTAGAGAAAAGTCAGAATATAAAACTTGGTTGGTTTTTCCTTAAGAAGACAAATAATCTTCTGCTTGCTGCACCCAGTTTGCCGTCACTCAAGAGCTTGTTTCCACAGGAAACAGTGGCAATTGGACGCGGACAAATCACGACCCAGCACAACAACATAGTATCTCCCCATAGAATGGAAGACCAGAAAGATTGCAACCTGTAGTAAGACAGGAGTTCCCATTTCCATTGGAAACAAGCACAACTACTACTGAGAAGTCATGAAACCTTCCTCTCCAAATACAGAAGCAAGATGGCAAAGAACACGCCAAACAGCTGCTTGACCATAGGGATCAATGGGGGAAAGAAAAACTCAGATGATTTATTAAATCATAACTGAATAAAACCTCAGACTGGATACCAGGACAGTTTGAAATCAGTCAGCTACAAAGCTTTCAGTTCAGTTCAGTTGCAAGTTTCTCTTCTGTGAATTCATTCAAGCTTACAGTCTGTAACGCCTGAAGGAACCAATCCACTCCGTCAGATGTGTACCTGCAGGTGAAGGGCAAGAGAAAGTTCCCAAACTGAAAGACTTGAGAGGACAAACTCCCCTCGCAGACTGAAGTGCAGAACTCCTGCCGGCCCGTCCTTCTTCCCAGATGGCAGCCTGTTGTTCAACCCACTACTTCTGTGGCGCTCGTTTTTTACAAGACGTTAGTACTGCATGTTCCTCGTGCGCTCAGCTCACACGCCCCAGGGAGTTTTTCAAAGTATTTTTAGCCCGTAACGATGACCCTGGATTCTGTAACAATTACTGTTAAAACGGGTAACAGTTCTGAAGGAGTTGACATAATGGAGAGAAGGGGAAGAAAATGAAAAAAACCCCCAAAATTCACCACTTTGTGTTGTTAAAGCCATCACATTGGCAAGTCACTTGAACATCCGTTCTCATCTCCTTCAGCCTTACTCGTCTTGTCATGCTTATATGTGGAAAGGAATAAGTTTTCTATCTGAGTCAAGAACTCCTCAGCAATGAAGCAGTTTGTTACCTTGCCCAAAGTCTTCCTCATGCACTCCAAAAGCTAGGCAAAAGAAAAGGAGATTTTTTAAAGTTGTTATTTTCCCCAAGTTTATTTTTTCCCCCTTCTAGCTGATAAGTATTCCGGGAATTTTTATTTATTATTTAGGATTAACACTACAGGAAGTGTTTAACTGTACAGTATGTTTTAGAAGGGAGAGGCACACAGGAACACATGGGCAATTTAAAGCCAATTCTTTA